GTTGGGTTTCTGGAAGTTTAGGTGTTTGAGGTTGTGCTGTAGGGAACAGAAGCAGCTAGAGGTCAGGACTAACCCATTTCACAACTAGTGAGGACTAACGTTTTCTAAAACAAGCCTTGCTTTTTAAAGCTGAATTGCTCAGCATTCCATAACATCAGGCTTTGTGTGGCTTCGCCTGTTAGCCATAGGTAGCGTGCCTCGTCTCCTCTCAGACACCCCTTTCAGGTTGCTGAGCCCTGTGGCAGGAGTTTACGGGCTCTTTTCCATCCCCAGTACCCACCGCGGGCCGCAGAAGGCACTAGATGGCACTGCTCTTCACGCTGACGGGGTTGCAGGCTCCCAGCTGGCAGTTCCAGCAAGACACGATGACAGGGAGAGCTGACGCAGGACCATCGGTGCTCCCTGCGCCAGTCTGTCTGTCTGTCTGTCGGTGGAAAACGGGGGGAGCTGAGTGCCAGGACAGCCATACAGGAGAAACAAGTGGGCTCTGTCAGTTGCCTGGTTTTAAAAGCTGCCTTTGGGGAAGGCTTAATACAACAGTTTTCCATATTCCCTAAACTTTTCCTAATGGCACAACAGACCCTAGAGTCGCTCAGCAATAGTCTGGCTTCTGCTGGTTACCGTTTTCAGGTTCTGTAGAGCCATGTTCTTCTCCCCAGTTGTGCAGGCCACAGGCTGAAAGTCACAACTGCACCAGGAAGCCCAATCCTAATCCTGCAAGTCTGATGTGATGAATGAAATTGATCTTTGAAGAGCTGCAGTGGCTAGAGAGGCCCTTGGCAACAAACCAGCAGGTTCCTCTGTGAGGAAGAAATATTCTGTGAGGAATACAGAAAACAGGATGACATTAGAAAGCGAGTTGTGCAGGCCACAGGCTGAAAGTCACAACTGCACCAGGAAGCCCAATCCTAATCCTGCAAGTCTGATGTGATGAATGAAATTGATCTTTGAAGAGCTGCAGTGGCTAGAGAGGCCCTTGGCAACAAACCAGCAGGTTCCTCTGTGAGGAAGAAATATTCTGTGAGGAATACAGAAAACAGGATGACATTAGAAAGCGATATTGGCTCATGAAGACCAGCAAAGGACTGTATATTCTGACATAAAAGGCAAGTTATGCATAAACTGCAGTGAGCGTAGGAACAAGTGAGTTGTAGGACTGTTCCCCACCCGCTTCATGTCTAGCTGATCCCATCTATCTCAGCGCTGTGCTAATGTATCCGCCGCAGCTCTACCTAGGCACCAAATACAACATTAAATAATTCATCATCATAAATCACAGCCCCTCTAAGCAGGAGAGCTTCTGGATGATGTGAGATTGCAGCTCTTAGGCTTACGTAGCCCGTAGAGGAGGAGGGTGTCCGATGTGTGGGTGGCCGGGTCGCAGGGGCTGTGTCCTGACCTTGCTGGGAGGGTGTACCCCAGATCATCTTGGGGGACATGCAGGCTTTTCCCTCTCTGTTGTCTCTGAGGGGCTCAAGTGAATTTGATCAATCCTAAAGCTGCCTCGAGATCTCATCTTTTCCTTCTGCTTCTACCATAATACAAGAACAAGGACAATTTGGTAAAGATACTAGCAAATCAGTGTGTAACCAAAGAGGAAAAACTCCAGACGAGCAGAATTCCTTACTCCAGGGCATCAGGACTTTTTTTTTTTTTTTTTTTTTTTTTTTAAAACAAGTTGGCTCATAGAACAAGTTTTCTTGTGATGAATAGTTTGATACCTGGACACCTCTGAGATGAGCCTCAGAAACACTCTGAGAAATCTCAGCCTTCTGCCTCAGGGCCCAGACCCGATTGCTGCAGGGACCAGGCAGGAATCCCCTTCAGGGGAGTGTGTCGATTTTCCTCAGAGGCATCAGACAGTGTCTGTGCCAGAGGCGAAAAACCTGAGTAGGTGGGCCAATGGCTTAACGAGAAGCAGCAAAGCTTATGGTCCTGCTGAGATCCAGAATTGTATCCGAGGACTCTCCACAGGAAAGAGGAAAGAGAAATTGAGTCTCTGTGAAGCACACAGGTTCAGCATGTGTTCCTTACAGCTGCAGGAAAGAGCTGTGCTCTGGCTTTCATCTGCCAGATCAGTGCACTGGCTACTTAGGCGGCGCTAAGGAGGCAGGGACAGCTTAAATTCATTGGGTTGCTGCTCTGAGGCACTCGCTGCAGCTCCACAAGCAGGCCCAGCCACCATGCCAGAGATGCGTCTGTCCCTTCCTTCCTATGCCCACACGTTCCTTCAGCTCTGGGAAGGAGTCTGAAGTCACTGCAACTCCCAGCACTGTGTGTTAAACTCCCGGTTATCCTATTTTTCAAATCATTTTTATGCAACATTTGTAACTCAGCTGTAAATATTTGCTCTCTGTCTGGAAAAGCATCTCTTTGCCCCCGTGTGTGCAGAGCTACACCTGAGTTAAGGTGCAACTCCCGTCGTGTGACCAAAATGCAAGAGGGTCATTGTCCCAAAGAACAGCGCTGTACCTGTCTCATGAGGGGGAGACTTGGGATTTTGGCACACTTCTGACCCTGTGACTGGATGCAGGGAGCAAACTGGGGGCCAGGCGACCTCTCCTGGCATGCAGGTGCCTCCTGAGTTAGTCTGCTCTTGTTTGAGCCTGTAGTCTTTGGGAAAAAAAGAGCTCTTGAGTATGATTGGTGCTAATAATTTCAATAAATACTTCCTTGCAAGGCCTTGCAATAGGAGAGACTGAGGCCAGCACCTACGTTTGAGAAGAGGGTGCTGGGTCTAGCAAGCAGCAGAGCAGGCAGGGCGTTTCACCCATGCCACTGGCTGCCCGAGTGACCTGTGACAAGTCACTTACTCTTTGTCCTTCCACCAAGGGAAGGTGTTTTGCTACTTACTGCCTTATTTTAATCACTCAGCAAGACTTACCACTTTGGTTGTGAATTGCGAGATGCTAGGAGGTGAGGGAGACCCTATCAGTCCAACATCCCTGTTGAGGTGATGTTGCTGCATCGCACCTACCCTTCTGCGATAGCTGGTGCGCGGGGAGCCTGCCCTTAAATTGTGCTGCAGGTCCACGGAAATCAGTCTGTGTTTTCCTTCTGAACTGCTGAGTCAATTCCCCGTGGCGGCTGTACCTGCAGAAGGAGTAATGGGACTGCTGAGGGGGAATGTGAGGGGTTACAAAAGCCCCGGAGCGGTTGAGGGTTTGGCCGCGGGCAGGATGCGAAGAGATCAGCGCTTGTCTTAGCCCGGCTCCTCACTTAACCTTGAAACCTCTTTCTGCTGCCGAGAGAGGAAGCGGTTGGGGGCTCTCTGGGCATGTCAGGCTCCACGGTGGCTACGCTGAGCCTGGGGAAAGGTCAGAGGCTCAGCAGCCCTCAGATAGCTAAGCGATTAGTTAGGTGACTTGTTGGTTTTGGAGGGGATCCCAAACCAGTCTTCTCAGGAAGCATTAGCTGGTAAAGTTCTTTTCAGGCGCTTGAGCCAAAAGCAGCAGGAGGATTAGGGGCTGGCTGCTGGCGTTGCGGGGTTCATTACACGTGGGGCTCAGCAGCCTGAGGCTCGCTGGTGGGCTCCCCAGGCTCATCCTAAGTGTGTGAATTTGGGCTTAGAGCTCCTTTTGTTTTCGAGCTGGGATAAGATTTCCCTGCTGACAGGCAGCATTCCTCCCTGGGGATTTTTTGACTGTCCTCTCATTCCTGTCTAGCCACGGGCAGGTGGTGGGACCTGGGATCACACCAACCTGAACAGTCACTCCCAGCTTCTTTCCACCATGGGTCCTGAAGCCGCGGCTTTCTTTGGAATCTTCTTCTCTCCTGTGAAGAGGAAGGATGCACAGGCACTTTGATAACTGGGGAGAGGTTTCTCTGAGGTCTGTACTTTTGCAACTTTCCCTCTGTTGCAAGGTGCTCTTGGTCACACTGCAGCACCCGAGAAGTGAGCCACAGAGATGGCCCAGCCGGACCCACAAGCCCTCCCAGTTACTCTGGTGAAGCTGAGCACAATAGTTCATTCTTCACCCTGGGGCTGGTGTTCATTACCTCAGAGAGCCTTACAGCATCTCTTCATTCCCATTTGTGGCAGGTCCAGGCAGATGGGACAGATGGAAACTGCGTCACGTTTGTGTTGCATGATGAGGACCACACACTCGGCAACTCCCTCCGATACATGGTCATGAAGAAGTAAGTGGAGCCTCTGTGGTGCCTGGCATCGCTGAAGGTACCTCTGTCTCCTATCTGGCCTTCTTACTGATCTGCATCTCAGTTGTTGCTGGAACAAGGCAAATGATCAGAAACTACCTCTGTGCATGCCTGTTTAGAGTCTTTATATCAGACATGGTGCCAAAGACTCCTTACCTACCACCTCTCTTCACAGGATTAACTTTTTCCTTGTGCTGTTAGTGTCAGGACGCTGAGAGCACTAATAGGCCTTAATGGGCCTGACCAGCCACACCTGGGGCCTCCACCCACACCCTGCCTGTGGGCCCAGGAGCCCCATTTAAGCTCAGCTCAGGGCTTTCAGTCCCTCCTGAGCTATGTTGTAGGAGTATGGTTCTCCAGCTCAGCCTGTACTGGGCTGCGAACTCTGTTCACCTGGATGCTGTCCCATGACTGACTTCCTGACCTGACATCAGCCCTTCCTCATCACTGTACACCTGCCTGGTAATCACTGGGTAGTGTCTGACGCTCATTACTCTCACCTGACATGACACTGACCTACAGATCGACTTCCTGGCCTGACCTCGGACCTGCTTCATCCCCACAAACCTGCCTGATGATCTGGACCCTTGGCTGACCCTGGCTACCACCTTTGCACCCGCCCTACTCCCTCGCTTGGGTGCTGTGGGACAGGGCTAGCTAGTGAGGCCTCTGCCCTGTCGGCTGTCTTACTATTCATGGCTCCCAGCTCCCCATCTCTTAGGGAACAACCAGCCCTCGCTGCTCCTCGATGGTTGGTTATGGAGGAAATTTAATGTCTGACATGTGAAAGACTTCTGAATCTCTTATTTGGCCCTGAGTAAAATGATGCACAACTCCATGTAAGTACATGTGGTCAGGCAGTATCTATGTCTCGTTCTGGGACACGTGCTGTCAGAAAAGAGGGTAGGAACAGCCAGTATTAAGCAAATTGATCATCTTTCATGCTTGCATGGAGATGCAGGAATTGATGCTGGGAATTAATTATCCTGCTGCCCCCATCAAAATATACAAATAAGTTCACCCTGGTTGCCCGATTTTATTGAACTGGGCAGCACTGAGGGTTTGCGAAGATCTACTGGTAAGCCTCAGAAGAATTACAGTAGGAAGTTCAGTGCATCATCTCAAATGACAGTTGCATTGCAAATGTCATGTGAATTCCTCTGATAAATCACCATGACAAGAAAAACAGCAGGCTTCTTGCAGAGCACTGTTCTTTCTGCTGGGCGCACAAACGTTCTACCAACCCCCTCAGCTTGTGAAGGCAGATACCATGCAGCCCGCAAACCATCTCGGTAAATCCTTGCAGTGCCCTAGACCCGTCAGCCTCTTTTTGCCCAGCAGAACTGCAACAGGTTTGTGTACAGTGAGGTTTCCAAGCATCCAGGATCCCCTGTTTGAACTCTGCAGGCCTACCAGTGGACCGTTGGTGATACCAGGGTGGTGCCTATGATCGTGCCAGCCATGTCTTTCCCCTGCAAAGCTCCAGCTGCAGCTCAGAGACAGATTGGGGCATATGAATAAGGTTACACAGGTAGTTTCCCTTCAGCATGTCCCTCCCATAAGACCCTCAGTAATTTTAGAAACATCTTGAGCCCCAGCAGGTCTGGGGTGGCCTGAGCCTCTGCCTTTCCTGAGATTCGCTGTGGATTGGCCCGGGTTTCACTGCTCTCTTCTCTCCTGCAGCCCTGATGTGGAGTTCTGTGGCTACTGCATCACGCACCCCTCTGAAAGCAAGATCAACTTTCGGATCCAGACCAGAGGTATGGGTATGCGCATTTCCTTTGTGGCCGGGGCCCTTTTTTGTGTAATTCCCCCTGCTCACATCAGGTTTCCACCGTAAGTCATTTAAATAAAGAAAAGCCCTTTTCTCCCTCTTCTCTGCTAGCCGCCTGCAACTGCTGTGCCCTGTTGCTCAGCTGGAGAGGCTGCTCTGAGCCATTATGCTACACCTCTTCTGATTCTCATCTGTAGGTCTGAGCCAGCTGAGGCCCTAGGAGCTCACAGCCTTGCCTGGTCCCAGGTATCTGGGTTGGCTGGTAGCAGGCACCGAACTGTAGTGCTGGGGTAGAGTAGATCTGCTACTCACTGTCACAGGGGATAGGTGCTCCATCTGCCCCTAAATCAGCAGGGGGATTGGAAAGCAAAGCCAAAGTGTGCTGACATATATAGCTGCCACGAGATAATTTGTTTCTGCTTCTCCTCAGCTGTCTTGTAGCTTTGGTCATCAGGGTATGACCCGAAGCTCTTTTGAAAAGCCTCATCAGTCTGCTGTCTTTTGACTTGCCTCTTAAAGAGGACTTTGTTCCCTGATAACTCTGAGTCTCTTGCAGTCACTCACTCCTCCCAGCACACCAGCCCCTTCAGCTCAGTCCACTGCCCTCCGTCCAGGCCTTGCAAGCTCCGTAGCTTTGTGTGCTGCCGGTGTTATTACCTTTCTCATGGGGCTGTTCCCTTGAGCATCAGATACGTAGAAGCCACTTCCTGGAAGCAAACATCTACTTTGTGCTTGCTGACTCTTTCATTTCCTAAAAATGATTAGTGCTTAGGCTGTTCGCCTTGCCAAGGGAACCCCTTCCCCATGGGACTAACTGCAGGGTTCCTGTGCCGCAGCCTGGACCACCGCACTGAGCTCAGTTCTCAGGCTGCTGATGGTGGGCTGGTAGGAGGGAACTGTGGGGGCACACACTTGGTGTAAGAGCCTCTCCCCATCACGGGGACTACCCTTGGGCATGGTGGTAACAGCCATGCTGTCTCAGAGCGGCGAGGGAGAGGGCTACCAACCCCTTTGGAAGCCATCTCCCGTTTCACTAACGCATCTTCTTTCCTGAAGGGGCCCTTCCTGCTGTTGAGCCGTTCCGCAAAGGGCTGAACGACCTGATGGGTGTTTGCCAACACGTGCTCAACACCTTTGAGGTGAGACGATTCCTGAAGAGCTCAGGGGCCTTTTCTATCTCTTGGTCTCAGAGGGGAGAGGAATGGGCCGAGATCTGTGTTGTAGGCACTTTTGACATGAAAAACTTGATAGTTTTTTCAGACAATCTCTGCCTGACCGGTGGCATGGCCTGGCTTCCTTTCCCTTGGCGTGACTGTAAAGCTCAGTCACTTCTGAAAGTACCTGGAGCTCTGTCCGAGCTTCTCAGGTCCCTCAGCCTTTCCAAGCACTGGACAGAGAAGTCACAGCACAGACCAGGGTGGTGGCACTGTGGTATATGAGTCACTCCGATACACGTTGTTAACATTTGTCCTTTGCTCTTGTTTGCAGAGGAGCATGAAGGAATACAGGGCCCAGAGGGAGGAAGAGATGCAATAGCATTTGGGGATGGCAGTCCCCATGGATGTGTGCAACGTCTGTGTGTTGAATTCCCTGTGTCAAGGGGTTTTGTTTGGTTGTTTTTTTTATGACCACTCTGATGCAAACCTGTATTTTCTCTAATAATAAAGTTTATGAAGTTTGATGCTGCAGAAGTGACACTGCGTTCAGCTCAACACGGTTATGGAAAATGACAGCTAGAAGGCAGGTCCTTCACTCTTGTGTCTTATTTCTTCCCTCTCCAAGTGTCATTGCTGTTTCCTGCCCAGCATCTTCAGATCACAGAGTTTGCAGGTAGTCTGGTGCGCAGAATTAGTCTGCCCCAGAGTCCCCAGGGAGCAAAGGGGTTCAGTGCTGTGTAAAATCAAGCTTTTAGAGAGGCAGCACCCTCTCCCAATTTACATCTTTCTGTTACTGGCACCAGTGCAGTTGACTTCAACAGATAGGGCCAGCCTTCCTTTTTAAACAGATCACTGTAAAATGATACTCTGCTCATTTGGGGGCTGAGATGAGTAAAAAACCGCTTGCCTTTTTTAACCCCCTGAAGAATGCAGACAAAGGCAAGCCCAGACCACTCCTCATGAGCAGGTTTAAAGGGTACAACACTGAAACCCTGGCCTTGGTCGGATCTGCTGGCAGCTAGCCAAGTGAAAGCCTTTTGTTGAGTGTAATGTGGCATGAAATTGCCAGGGTTTCTCTGCTCTGTGCTGGGCGTAGGATTGTGAACCTCTCTGGTTTGCTCTGCACAGGGGGGATGCCGGTTGTCTCTTCAGTGGAGGTCTGCAGTTACCAAAGGAACCTGCTGACACTCAATTAAGTATTTAGCAGACTTTGCAGACCCCCTACTGCTTAATAAGAAACACTCAGAGATTTTCCTTTCAAACACCAGCATGTTTTATTAACATACAGAGGAATAAGAGGGAGGATATAAAATGTCAGGTTTTCTCTATAAAATCATGCTTTCAAATACAAATTGACAGACTTGGTCTCTCTGACAGGCTGCCAGTAGGTTTGTGTTCGCAGGCGTTAGGCCAAGAAGCCAGCTGAGCCCTACGGCTCCTTCGCCTCTCAGTTTGCTCAATGGATTCATCCTGCCCATGCCAACACGGTCCCACATCTGTAGTGAGCAGCTGCTGTGGCTTTGCTTTTGGCTAATCCTGTCTGGCCTGGTTTCTTCATGCTGAAACCTGTGGGTGGTTAAAGCATGTTTTCACATAGGGCTTGGGGCACAGCAGGGGCACGTGGGGAAGAGGGGCTGGTGAGTGTTTCACCCCGCTATGTAGGAGCAAGCACGGGCCTGGGGATTTTCTGGTTAAAGAATTCCCCAGCCCAAGCAGCAGGGAGACATAAAAAAGCAGGAAAGCAGTTTCCCCAGGGCAGGGGGGAGAGCATGAAGGGGTGAATAAGCCAGGAGCTGACTCGTGCACCTGGGCTGAATCTCAGCCCAGGCGTCGTGGAGAATATTTATCAGGTCTTGAAACAACATCCAGGGGATGCTGTGGGCCAGCTACATGTTGCCTGAGCTGGGCTGCAAGGACCACTCTGTTCCTGGATGTCCTCTGCCTGAAGAAGCAAGGAAAGGATGGGCATGCCCATAACTGTACAGCTCTTCCCTGTGAATGGGCAATAGGAGCTGGCAGCAAGGAGCTGTCTTTGCATTTGCACTTCCATGAGCAGCTAAAACGAGACTGTGCATGCATTCCTTCTTTTCTGGTGTTCATTACTTTCCCTCTGAGCTGAAACTTGCTGGTCCTGGCCTTGGTTGTAGCCTAAGGGAGACCTTCTAGTGCTGGGAAGGGGCCATTTGGATGCCAACACAATGTAAGAGCTTTAAAAGGGTACCGTTTCTAGCTGGTATCTCAGCTCTCTTCTCCCTCTCCTCTCACGCTTGGTCAAACTTTGTGACGTTGGTTTTAATAGGAGGTATCTGGGAGGAAAATACAAGGGGGAAGCTATACCAAAGGAGGATGAAGTCACTGTTAAACAGACATGCAGCAAGTGATAGCAGTGTCCAGATCTGGGATGAATTCATGTCAGTCTGTTTGTTTTAGTATTAATAATGTGGAGATCTGAGACTTCCTCTCACACTTGGTCAAACTTTGTGACATTGGTTTTAATAGGAGGTATCTGGGAGGAAAATACAAGGGGGAAGCTATACCAAAGGAGGATGAAGTCACTGTTAAACAGACATGCAGCAAGTGATAGCAGTGTCCAGATCTGGGATGAATTCATGTCAGTCTGTTTGTTTTAGTATTAATAATGTGGAGATCTGAGACTGGTTTTGAACCATTTAAGGCTGAAATGTTGATCTGAGTGTAGCTGCTAATGCAGATATGATTAAATCTGCTCTTGGAGCATAAAAAGAGACGTTAGCCACTTGGGGCCTAGGAGGTTAAGTAAGGTAAAAGGATTCCCCTGTGTGCCTGTAATTGGTATCTGTCTTGTGAATATTAGCAGGTCCTGGCTGTTCTGCCTGTCCTTATGAGAGGATCGTGGCTCTTCAGTGTTTGGGATGCTGCTCCTTATGGCGTCACCAAAGGTCGCTACTGGGAAATTGTCAAGATGCTTCAATCTTCACTGAAATGAATTTAAATATGCCAGTTCCCATGCACTGTGCAAGTAAAAGACAGAACAACCCTTGCTCAGCCGCTGGCAGGCACTAAATTGCATGACTGCGTGCTTTGCTCTTGTTTTAACATGAGAAGGCTGACTTTTACCAGTTGGGACCAACTTTATTTTGCAGCAAGGAGGGTGGCAACAGCCAGGGACAGGTCTATAGCTTTAAACTCCTAAGCTGCTTTCTTTCTTTGCTACTTCACCTTTTTGGCACTTGTGGCTTCTCTACCAGGAGGACGTGCAGAGCTTGATGCTCTCTCCTGCTTCTCTGAGGTACTGAGTGCATTTTAGCTGGTTCCTGTTTCCCCAAAATATTTCAGTCCTCTAGAGAACAGTATCTCCCTCCCCCATGTCCTGGTACAATGAGCTGGTGTCCACGTCCCTCCTGGGTCTGGAACAATCTTGCTTCTAAAGAAAGCTGCTTCTCCTGGCTCTCTGCCCAAGGGATCCTGTCTTCTGACAACTCCAGTTCATTTGGCATTATTTCTTTTTCATTAAGGGCAGCCCTGTGGCTGGTGTTTCAGGGTCAGGTTGGAACAAACCACCTGAAAACTGGCACCTGGGCTAGCAGAGGGGCAATCTACGTGCCAGGAGGGCAGAGGTGGACAGGACAGAGGAAGCCACGTTCCTTGCATGTGTGCATGCTCATCCTCAGCTTGTCTCCAGTGCTGATTTGGGGCTGAAGCACCTCCTGAGCATGCTAGACCCAGAGCTCGGGTGAGTGCATGAATTTTAGGGAGTACCAACGGAGATGCAATGGTGGAGATGTTAACCTGAAGCAAATCACTCCATAGCGGCCGCTTGCAACCCGGCAGGGCGGGCCCTGGTGCGTAGGAGAGGGCCACCCTCATCCTGGCAGGAGACGCCAAGGAGCTGGGCCATCTGGAGCTGAATTTGCCACAATTTGGGGTAGGGCAGAATCTGAGTGAGACATTGCATTATGCTTGGTGTGCCACTGGCTTACCCACCGCTACGACCTTGGAGTGGTATGAGGTGTTGATTTGAAGTCACAGAATCCATTTGCCTGTAAATGTGGACAAATACAGAAATACATAGAATTCAGATTTTTTTTATAAGCACAATCATTTAAAAATATCCTTCTACTAAGATGTCTGCACTGGAACATTTCAGTCTTTATCAGTTTTCTCTGTTGACTTCATTTGTCTACCAACAAAATGCAGCAGCGCTGCGAAATTGATACAGACAAATCTACTCTAGAGGGTAGGTAAGTTTGTAGCAAACGTGCTGTCTAGATATTCCTCAGTCTTTCTGTTTCTGTTGTCTTTCAGAAATGTGATTTGTTTGTAAAACATTTGCACTTCAGTGAAAGCTAAGCCAAAAAAACCCCAACACCTGGAAAATGTTTTGCTTTATTTGCAGGTCTTTTCTCTTCTTCCTTTTTCCTCTCTCTGTTTTTTTCCATGACGAGATGAAAAGGGGAAAGAAGAAAGAGAGAGTGAGAGGTAAGAGAGAAGAAAAAAACAACTGAAAAATCATAAAAAATTTGGTAACTAAAACTTTCTCATAGGTTTTTTAAAGTTTTGGCAAGAGATGCAAGCATGTTTTTTTTAGAAAAACATGCTGGAAAAGCACTCGGGGATTAATTATTTTAAATAGTAAATTTATGAAAGCTCTTTGCCATATTTTGGTTAGTTCCAGCGGCTCTTTCAGCTGAGACTGGACCTTCCCCATTGCCTTTTCCACCTTAGCTTGACCATGAGGACGAGCATCTCTGTCCCCCTTACAAATGGCATGAACCTTAGTGTCATGGTGCTGTGGCCAGGACACATCGGGGTCCAGCCCCACTGCCCCGTTGGAGCTCAGCCTTCTTGGCAGGGGGAAGACGAACTACAGGCATCAAAATGCAGGGCCCCCCTTTTTTCCCTTCAGAGCTGTGGTCTTGCAGGCGATCCCCCTCCCAGGAGCCAGCGGCTGAAGGAGGCTGTGGACTTTCCAGCTGCCGAAGACGGCGGATCAAGGCTGGTGCTTTTCTGGAAGGGCACGTCTCCTGGATCCTCTCCCTTGCATCCTACAGATGCAGAGAATCCTCAGGCAGAGAATTAGCTGCTTCCAGGTTACGCAGGGGGTTGGAAAGGTGAGGGCTGGTTCCTTGGTCCCAGCCTCATCTGGATTTGAGCCATCTCTGCCTTCCCTTTCCTGGGCTTACAAACTCTTCCCTGGAAAGATAGCCCCTTGGGCCAGCAACGGTGCCTGGCTAGCCAGGAGCTCACCTGTCCCTGGGGAGGGGGAAGCTGGGGCAGATGGTTTGGCTGGGTGCTGCCACTAGCTTCTGCCAGGGACATGCGGTCCCCTAAGCCGAGCAGTCGCGTACAATCACTTTCTTGTGCCATACAGAGGCGGGGTGAATGTCGTCCCTGGGTGGGGAGCCTGGGGCAGATTTCCCAGGAAAAGGTAAAGAGGAGGGGGGCTTTTAGAGCTCCCCAGGTCAGGTTGGTCACACACTGAAGCCAAGTTACTGCCCATCTCTCCCTACCACGAACAGCAGGAGATTTCAGGCCATTGATGGTCTACCAGCCATACATGGTGCCTGGATCTTATCCTGGCTCTCTGCCCAGGGACAAAGGGAGATGATAAGGGATGTTATCAAAGCTTTTCCTGGGCTTTTTCAGCTGGAAATTGTCACTCACGGTCCTCTCCCTCTCCTCCTCATCCCACATCCATCTCAAAGTGACCACATCTCAGCCTTCCTTCCCTTTTCACACACATCTCCCCACCCATGTTTCCACCCGAGACAAATGGCCGTAAGTCACTTGGTTTTCCTGCAAGGAAATGAAAAATCCTACAAGGATCTGAATCCCCTTCCCCCTCCTCCAGAGGCGACTCGGACCAGAGGACGGATCGGCGTGGTTCAGAGGCTGTGTTCAGAGCTAGTCCCAGGGGTCTGTGAAATGCTGCAGCTCCTTCCAGGTGGGTTACGACACGAAGGCAAAACCGATTCAGGCCCAGCCAGGAAACGGCCGTGCGAGAGAAATGGAGGGATCCTGCCGTCTCGGCACAGTGCCTTCTCCTCTCGGCCCCGTGGGTGGCACGGCTTTAGGAAGAGCTGTACTTGTTGCTCAAGCGGGAGCTGCTCCGGTCCAGCCCAAGCTCCTGCCCGTTGGCTTTCCACTTCCCAACAGAGCCCTTCTCGTCCGTCGGCGTGATGCTCAGAGCCGGTCTCTGGCACCAGCAGCACAGGCAGGACTGCGAGGAGACAAGAGGGTGGAGAGAGAGGTTACAAGCGAGGGTAGAAGAGCAGGAAACATTCCCTCGTTGATGTTGGCAAGTCAACCTGCGCAGTGCCAGGCTGGGAATCGCAGCCTGCACTTCTGAGCCTTGCTGTCCTGCAGATCTGCTGGGAACAGGTTTTCCAAGATGGGTCTGGAGTGGGTTGGAAATGAAGTTACTGAAATCTTGGGTACCTTTTGCAGTTGTGTTTTCTTGTCCTTGTGGGACAGAAAATACAAGTAATGCTTAGCTGGGTCAGCTCTTCTTTTTGCCACAGCAGCTGGGAGGTGATTCCCTTTGCACCCCTTCCCTTCCTTTCCCATCCCATCCCATCCCATCCCATCCCATCCCATCCCATCCCCTTTCTTTCTCAGGGCTCCACAGCTCCTGAAAGTTATCTCTGAATAACTTGGGTTCAAAGTTTAAAGCAGCCCCAGTCCCTTGTCTAATGGTTTGTGGGGATGCTTCTGATCCAGAACGACAGGGACTGTTTTGGCTTGTCCGAGGTCCTGCACTGGCAAAAGCCTCCCCATAGTGAGCTCTAGTGTACTTGAAGCTGGGAAGACAGTCACCTAGCAGGGGGAAAATTTGGGAGAAGAAATCAGTATATGAGCAAATAGGGGAATCCTGTGGGCTGCTGGCAGCCCCAGCATGTCCCTGATGGGGCATTTGTCTGGCAGCCAGGAGCTGCGAGGTCCAGACCTGTCTCTGGTGCTGCTTGCTGGGTTTGTTTGTCAAACTATTCTCCACCTTCCCCCTCATCTCATAAGCGCAGAAGTCCACTGCAATGGGGGTGCCAGAGGCTGCACCGTGCCTGGTCCGTGGGAGCTTGTGCCCCCGGGACGGGTGTCTGGGAACGGTCACCATAGCCAGGAGCTCTGGAAGGGTCAACCCTACCTGGAAGCAGTTCTTGAATTTCCGGCTGACAAAGTAGAGAGCCACGGGGTTGATGCAGGAGTTGAGGGAGGCCATGTTGATCCCGAAGTAATCCATCACTAGGAGAAAACTGAGGCGGGAGGGGAGAGAAGAGGGTGGACGTGTTGGAAGCTCACTGAGCGGAGAACTGAGGGAGGGTTTCCAAACTGCCTGCAAACTGCTTGGCCCGGGAACCTGCTTCCACGGAGGGCCAGTGACTGATAACACAGAGGTGAGCACAAAACAGTCCCTCCTGCAGTTGGGCAATCGCCCAACACTTTTTCTTGCGAGGAGCATTTCCTGAGGAAACCAAAAGCATGAGATCTGATTTCCCCTCGTGACTTTCATCTTCTCAAACTCAAGCGCAGTAGCAGTGTCTGGCCTGAACTGGATTTTGGCGTGGTGGGTAAAGAGGAGCGGGGAAGACAGGCACCTACCAAGTGGCAGAAAGTGTGCGCAGCCCTCAGACGTGATGCAGTCCCTTTAGCCCTGCAGGGAATGTTTCTCTGCCCAGGAGACCTCTTTAACCCATAGCTTTATAAAGACATTTCAAAATTTAATTTCTTCTGTTCTTATGGTCCCCCACACCCTTTCTCTGTGCCTATCGGGAGAGCAATGCCATCCAGAAAGGAGCTATTAAAACAAGGTGTTTGGAAGGCAACTGGTGTTTGGAAGGCAACTCCACCAGCCTGCGATGAGCCCAGCAGAGCCTCTGCCGGTGCCCGCAGGGGCTCCCAGCACGGTGCCCTCCTGCTGGTGGCCCTACCTGAGCAGTTCACATCTGTTGGGGTCCGTCTGGTCATAGATGGTCTTTTTGAGGATGCGGCTGAGGTGGAGCGGCAGCCAGCAGAGCGCAAAGATCACCACGAGACAGAACACGGTCTTGGCCACCTCCCGGCGCTGTGAAGAGAAGGTGGGCAGGAGAGAAGGGATGGTCTGGCTGAGCATTGGAGAGCAGATGGAGCAAAGCACCATCTCCCCATGCTGAGCGAGGGACCTTCAAGTAATTTCTGTAATCTGATGGCGGCCGGGCACCCCTTTTGAGTCCAAAGCACAACCTGCAGGTCCCAACTCCTGCATCATGAGGAGGACTCTGAGATCCAGGCTGCAGAAGAGGGTAGGGCACCAGCAGCACAATACGGACCAGACTCCTTCACGCCTCTTCGCACCATTGCTCCTGGTGACTTTGCTGGGGTGATACCCCCTGGGACACAGGGGCCTCATCCATCCATCCTTCACACTATATTATTGTGACAATCAGCCGGTCTGTCTCAAGGGATCATTCTGCAAAGTGTGGGAGGGGACAGTAAACTATTCCTTTCCCTGCACCCCTTGTCTGCAATATGGCACATTCACCATTTGGTCCAGTTCGGTGTGATCTGGGCTGGCACAGCACGGCCAGAGATAAATGACTATAAGAAATTGAATATCAAGCTGGTCCATGGCCATAAGGCTGGTGGTTTGGGTTGTCCCTGAGATTGGAGATTGTAGAGCGGAAGGCCCATCTCCCTGGTTTAATCCATGCTTCTGCATCAATGTTCCAATATGCATTGACCACTGTGAGGCTATGTCAGCTCATGCATGTCCTTTACAGGGACTGGTGCCTGTCCTCCCCTTCAACAGCACTCCCTCCTGTTTGGGAAATATCAGCGTTTCTGCCTTCCTGGTTTTCTTACCCGTTTCATGTGGTCATTCAGGGCAATCCTCATGCCATTTCTCTTGCTCAACATCTCACATGACATGAGGGTGTAGAAGATGCCAGTGCATACCAAGGGGAGGCAGAAATAGAAGCCGAAAAGCCACCAGTCCTTCACATCACGGTAGAACTGCATGCAAAAGAAAGAACAACTGGAAACTGGGAAAAGTGTGGGGTAACTGGGGCATGAACTGACCCGGTCCCTGACACTGATGCTGGCCTCTATCAGACACTTCGGATGTGTGGAAGTGTGACCGCTCCTGTGCTAAGTGCACATGGGATTATCTTCCCCAAGGCTGGTGCACGTTTAACCTACTGAAGTAAAGCCTGGTCTATACATCTGGCTGCCAGGCCAGTCTAGCACTCTTGTGCAAGAAACGGTTGCAAGGAGCTTATTTGGCAGACATGGTGGGATAAGTTCTGATGCTTTGTAAGGGTCTTCATTCCTTTGCTCACCCTTAGCTGACCCTGTGATAAAGGTTACCCATGCAGACAAGTTGTGGAGACACTCTTTGGCCTGCTGGGACAGCACAGCAGGTTCTGAAGCTTCCCGAGATGTGTCATGACCTTCTGATGTGGATGGTGAAGACACGACACAGCTTAAGGACCAGCTGCCTGTTTTCTGGCCCCACATTCAAAGCAAGTCTGCCCCACGTCACTACAATGCTGGGTCTTCTGTGCTTTGTCTGATACTGCTCTCCCTGTGTTCACCCCGATGGCTAGAAGCAGCCATCTCCAGAAGCATCTAATCATAGAATCAAGGAGGGAGGATGCGCTGGTTGCCTCTGTCCCCCTCTCCCTCGCACCGCAGCTGAGATGGGGCACAGTACATACCATCATGAAGCTGGATTTCTGTTCGGAGGCGAGCATGCACACCCACAGGTGTCGTTCCCAGTAGCTGAGCTCCACCATGTCAAAGGCTATAGCTTCGGGGACTGCAAGCACGATGGCCACTGCCCAGATCAGCATCACCTCCACTGCCTTCCACATGGGGATTCCTATCCCCTGGATCCGACTCCAGGACGCCACTGCTCGGTACCTGCCCAACGCGTGGGAATGCAACAGGAGCAGGTTGGAGTGAGAAAAGCAGCCGTCAGGAAGGGGCCGAGAAGGTGCAGATTAGAGTTGTCCCCAAAGGCCCTTTCCCTTACGCCTTCCTCCTCCACCCCTGAACCTTCCACTTCCATGGAATGGGAAAGATCAGAAACGGGCTCAATGGATGAATGTGATGGTGGCTATCCTTGGCCAATGTCCGCTTGCCACTGGGGAGGTGCCACCCTTCCCCACCATCCCAGCAGTCGTTCCAGCACATCATGATCTTCCGCTCAACCTTTTCCAGCAGGATTTAAACTCTGCCACCGGAGTCAGATCCTGTTGGATTTCAACTCTACGTGGCAGCACCCTGTCCCCATCTCTGAATTTAGCCTGAGACCAAGCCGCCCTGCAGGCTGCCTTTTGGTGACAATGAAGGGACATGCTATAGTCAGATATGGGTCAGGCTGGGCAGTGCAGCTGTAGAAGTTGTTTCTTACCTGTCAATGCTGAGAGCACAAAGGCTGAGGACCGTGATGCCCACTGAGGCCTTCTGGATGAAGGGGACCAGCTTGCACACCGGCACGCCGAAGGGCCAGTCCTTTGCCAAGAGCTGGGGAAGAACCTCAGGGTTAACGGGCTGCTTCAGGAAAGCGTGTCCAGCTTCCTGAAATAGCGGGTGGTTACCCACAAGGCGTGAGAAGCCCACAAAGAGCAGCTGAAAGCACTCTGAGGTTACCTCTGCTGGGATTACGCGGTATGTGCTCTCTGGTATTTTGTGTTGTACTGGGAACCATTCGTTTCCCAAAGGGCTTGTTGTGAGATGAGTTGATGGAAGGATGGTCCTGACCAGGTCCTGACTCCAGACCTTGGGTGGTTTTGAATGGATCTGATTCCTAAACGCCACAATGGGCTTTGGGTCGCTTTCAGAGAGAAAATGGGTGTCTGAATTCTCTGAAACAGCCAAAATCCATCAAGGACATCTTCTTTCCGGTGGCTTTCAAAGCCATGTAGTCTTAAGCCCTTACCATACTGTGACCCTCCACCACACTTAGATTCCTTATAGAACACATACACTGTGGCCCCAAGCTCAGCTGGGGCAAGCAGAGGGTGTCAATGGGGACAAGATGCCCTGAAGGTAGGAGAAATCCAGGCTGAAATCCTGGGTGAAAACGGAGAAGGGCTGTACCCCATGGGTGGAGGGGGGAACCTTCCCCTGGGTCAGTGCTGCTGGCCCCAAGCTCTCTGTTTTCTTGCACGAGTGAAACCCTCTGCGTGGATCCGTATTCTTGTAACAGCAGGGATTGTCTGGCTCATGGAGAACCTGTTTGTTTTGAGCTAAAAATACTTTATAGTTTTCAATCCATTTTCACTTAAAGTGTATCTATTCACAGTGATTTGAGATCCTCTGCCAGCCACATCTGGTTGTTCTCACTGTCAAATTATACGCATCTTCTTCCTGCTTCGAATTTCTCTGCCTTCTCCCCCTGCCACCCAGCCTGCTCGATCCAGGACCCCTCTGGCACTCAATTCCCACTTTTCAGGCTAAAGCTTCCCTTTGACAAACAAATCAAGTCCTTCACCCCATGGCATCCCTTCCAACCCTTCGTAGAAACCTCTGGCTCCAGCCTGCCAAAACCTGCCTCAAGCAGTGGGCGAGAAAGAGCTGCAATAGCCCAGGCACATCTCACACGTCGTAACGCACCTTCTGCTCTTAACTGGGGTCTCGGGTTTACTGCCTGCATCTGCCTGGCCCTCTCTGTCCCAGTGCGTCGTGCAGGGCTCAGGTTCCCCTGATTATTTGTTGTGCCTCTTCTCTCTAGTTTAGGGGGCAGCGTCTCTGAAAGAAGCCCCTGTTTTATAGTACAGCCCTCTTCCCTGTTCCTGGCTGAGCCTTCACGTTTAGCTAGAATAAAAAAGATATTTGCTTGAGGCTGATGAACTGAACTGTGCTGGGAGAAGTGTCCCCAGTGCACAAGAACAATAATTTTTTACTCAGCTGAAATAAACATCGAGCTGTAATGTCAGGAGACTGCGAGTGATTCTTTTCTTGTGATTTGAGATGAGATTTAAAAGATCGGGAAGGTTGTGTGCTTGTGTGTGTGTGTGCATAACACAGCTGTAGCTGAGAACACCTCCGCGCTTCCAGGAATGTATTGAGCTCTTTGTCTATGTTTTTCTTATCCTTTCGAAAGCAGAAACACCCTCCCCCTCTCCCTTGCCAAAATGGAGCCTGCAATAAAGAACAGAGGGTAGATATTCCCCAGGGCACGGAGGCAGGTGGGAGCAGACACCATCCCTGCAATCGCCAGGCTGCCGCAGCGCTGGAGCCTACCTTATACACGTTGATGGGCAGAGCAATGAGGATGTAGAGGAGGTCTCCGAGCGCCAAGCTAGCAATGAGGACATTTGGCCCGTTCCTCATGCACTTGTTCTTGTAAATGATCCTCAGGAGCGTGGAGTTCCCAATGATCCCTACTATGAAGATGGTGCAGGACACGATGGTGTTGATGTACTTGAAGATGTGTCTGATATCTGCAGGCTTCCCGCAGAGGGGCAGCAGGGGTGGCTCAGAGCTGGCGCTCCTGGGGAGGCTCTCCGAGTGGTTCGACGGCTTGGCATCCTGGAACAGGCTTGGCTGGACCAGACTGTAAGCCTGCTCCTGGCTAAGCACCTCAAAGGGGACGGTGCTCTCCGGGAAAGCCCTTGGGGTCTGGCCGTGTGCCCCGGAGAAGAGGCAAGTCAGGAGAATGGCTAGAGCGGTGGGAGCAGAGATTCTCGCCATTGAGGACCGAATGGCAAAGCTGGGTGCAGAAGTCCTCGCAGTGCTCGTGGGATGTCCTTGCTTGGGTCTTGGTTGGTTCTGCAGGTGGGGAAAGGGACAAAGGAGAGAACTCGGTTAGCAGAGGAAGGAGGAACAAGAAGAGACTGAATGAAAGGAATTGCTGGAGAAAGTCCATCATCACAGTGATCAGAAATAATGCCAGATTAGATCCCATCTGGTCAAAGCAGCTGACTCCTGTGGGTGGGAGTCTTTGCTGCTAAAATTAAACATGTCTGTTCAGAAACACAAACTAAAAGGAAAACAAGCCAGTCTCTTATGCCTCTTACTCAGTATTTCAGCAAATAAGGGCACCTGCCTCTTCTCAAATAGGTGTGTTGAATCAGCTGTTGCACCTTCTGAGGTTGGCAGTGCTCGTCCAGCAAATCTGGCTTTTCTGCCCAGCACAGACATTTGTGCCCAGCCCACACTTCTCAAGTAGTTCCTGACTGTTTGAAGTAGCAGTTTTGGGGCACCTGCCCTGTTGACGCCTGCACATCTGGGTGATTCTGCCAACCTCATCTCGGGGTCCACAGAACCAGTGGAGCTTTTCTTCCAGTTCGTGCCATGGGAAAACTGGAGCTGCACTAACATCCCACTCTTCAGCAGATCCCATCGGCTGCCTTACGCCACCTTTCAGGGCACAGCGAAAAGACTCAGCACAGTCTTCCTGGGAACCATGATGGGAAAATACTACAACGGTTTTTCCAGAAATGCTGTACTGATACCTGACATCTTATTCCAATTTATGTGCGAGTAGAAGAGCCCCTCCTTCCCCATCCTTATCGCCGTTAATTGAACCACTTCCTTTCCAAATCCACTGTGCCCATTCAACTCAGTACTCGGGGATATAAATCTCCCTGTGCTGTTTGCAGTTTTGACTGCTGAGCACAGTAAAAGGTCTCTCAAGCTCACCAAGGCTGCAGCACTACTAATAAATATCATCAGGGTGGGTTCTGCTTTGCAAATCTCAGACAATGCTTTCAGGCAGGACTAGGCAAGCTGCAGCTTCACAACCACTTGAGAAAGCTGAAGATGGCTGTAGCACTGTCCTGGCATGATGTGAATTTGTGAAAGGGGCTTCTGGATGATCCAGATACGGCCACCAGTGGGAAGTGAGCCCAGAGAGGGAGTGGAAGGTGTCAGCACCCTGCCCCAGCACTGTCTGTGCCACAGGCAGGGACAGATCTCCTGGTTAGAGTGGGTGAAGAACACGTTTCTCAAACTATGAAAGTTCACAGCTTTGAAGGGAGGAAGAATTGCTGTGCCCAGACTAGAAACAGGAGCCTTTTCGGGCTTCCCTGGGATGTGCTCTGCTCCAGGGGAGCCGGTTAGGCAGGGATCGGGGTGCCTGCCTGGGATTAGGGATGGGACTTCAATCTTCACCCCAACTCCACTAGGCAGAGTTGGGATCTGAGCCCAAACCAGCTGTAACCCAGGGGTCTGCTCCCCAGGACCATTCAGCCAGGGCACTCTGGGGTCGTAGCACGGTTCCCCCTGCCCAGGACCAGGGAGACCTCAGGACCAGCAATGCCTATATGGTGGGAGCATGCTGTTCCCACTCTGGGAAGGCATGGCCAAGCCAACCACAAGCCCCACCAGGTACAACCACGGCTTCTCTCGATACAGCTGTGCATTCCTCATGTGCCATGGGCTCAGGCCAGGCTTTGTAGAAATGCCTGTGCCTTTCTGCTTGTTTGGAAGACTCCAAGCATAATCAGCATGAAGTTGGACGCTTTCCCGACAAACCAGCCTAACCAGACCTACCCTTTTCTCAGTTTCACCCTACTTCTCTCGCCAGAAAATCTAAAGCAGGCTTAGTCCTTCCTGACCCTCTTATGTCCTTCGGTCAGGTCCTTAGTAAACAAGCAGTGTTAGGAGGAAACCTAAAATTTATTTCCAGTTATGTGTCAAATATAGGCAATAAAATAATCAAATCCTTTCAATCACAGTTTAGACCTCATGAACTAGAGAGTTAAGTTTTCAGTTCTGTTAAAACAACCTCATTTTAAAGAAGTTTCTTTTCTAGTTTGAATCCTTATAACAGCACCTTAGATACGGTTTCATCACAGGAAAGTTGAAGATCCCATCACTTTTCAGCTCACTATAAGCATGCTTCTATCTGCTAAAATATTCATGCCTGGTGCTTAGCAGTCTTGTGTGTTCTCTGTGCCTTTTATCTGTGCAGACTCAAACAGCTTTGCAAACTTATCTTGCAGATAAGCCGCATCGGTGTGAGCCAGAACAGGCACTGTGAAGTTATCTGCCTGCCTCTGGCTGAAAAAATGAGCAGTTTTCCATGACTTGAAAAGCATTTAGAGAAGAGTCTCCATGTGATGGTGGGAACCGACCCATATCTGGCTTGTAAGCGCCCTGCTCTCAGAGGTACGTAGGTACCCCATCACTGAGGGATACCCGCAGTGTATGTGATCTGAAAACTGGGGAAGCCCTCAGCCCATACTGTCCCTCCTGCACGGGCAGAGCTAATTTCCTAAAGAGGGGATGGTGGGATGCCAGCTTGTCACCTTGGATAACCAGTGTAAAATACTACGAGAAGGAACTAAGCTATGCAGCAGAATAGCTGGTTATTAAGTGGCCTAGACAAGGAGGAGCCTCCTTCCTCAAAAGACCCTTTGGAGATGCGTTGGTCAAAGCTGAGGATTCATAAAGTTGTCACCAGTCAGTGTGTGGAGAGGAATGTTCCCACCTGCTCGCTGGAACAATCTTGGTCCTTGGTGGCTACGAAAGTCCCGGTACCCTCCCTGGTCTCAGCACATCCCTAATCAGCTAATTGCAAATCTGGGACCTTGTGACCAGAGAAGCTTCTCTGACACCACCTTCTTCTGGATATTTACCTAAGCATCTGCTCCACCTGCTGTCCTGGAGACACCTGGCAAGGGTGGACTTTGCTCTGACCTGTTTTGATGTTATTCTCAGCTGTGACTCCTGCTCCGGTGCTGGGCACCCAGCTATAATAGAATCATAGAATCATAGAATCATTAAGGTTGGAAAAGACCTCTAAGATCATCAAGTCCAACCGTTAACCCAACACCCCCATGCCCACTAAACCATGTCCCTGAGCGCCTCATCTACACGTCTTTTAAATGTTGGGAAGGGGGAGAAGAAAGGAAGGGAGAGAATGGATAAATAACCTGAAGGACCACAAACCTGACTCCTTGGATACCTGGGCACAAATCCCTGCTCTGACTTGGTGCAGGGACTTGCTAGGGTCCTCAGCTCTCCGTCCTGCCCCAGGCTACACCGGGGGCAGCTGTCTCGTGGGTGGGTGCCCTGACCAATGCCCTCCTCTCCTCCCCACTGTGCCCGCAGGATTGTGGCTCATAGGAGAGGGCAGACCCGTCTCAGAATTCCTGCCTGGGATCCTTGAGGGTCTGGGCAGCTCACAGGGAGCAGCTTTGGATGGCACAGACAAATGTCTGCCACTCAGGGCTGTCTGGGGGCTTGGAGAAAGACGGTGGCTCCTGGAGTCAGCAGCTGACAGAGGGGTGCCAGAGCACCCCTGGAAAGTTGTGTCCTGTGCCCTCTGCAGCAGCGGGCTGCTGCTGTCTGCTCTCCCCGATGCAGGACTACGGAGCCCAGTGTGGCTGTTCAGCCCCTGGGTATTTGGCAGAAGAGCTCATGTGAGTTAGTATCACAGGACACAGCTCACTGGGTCCTGCCCGTCCCCTCCACAGCGCAGCTGCAAAGCACTGAAGGAAAAAAACACTTTTCCCTCATCTTGCCTTAAAATCCAGCAATTTAGTAAAAGAGAAGCATTGTTTTCTCCTGTTCAGCAGCCCATTTACTTCTTGCCCTCCATGCTGCCTCTCGCATCTCAGAGCGCTTGAAAGCATAACCCTTTCTCACTTGTGGGGGAAACTGAGGCATGGGAGCATCAAGAAGCTTGTTCAGTGCCCAGCAGATGTGAAGCCAGCATTGCTTGACCCAAAATCCTCTGAGCTTTGTTCATGTTGCTGATCATCTGGGGAAGCGACTTGGTGCCTGAAGGGGCCATCCCCATCCCACCTGCCCAGCTGGGGCTCTTCTGTTAGCAAAGAGCTTGGACGCATGAAAGTGGAAATGCGTTGTGCTGAGTCCAAACAGCAGCTGAAACCACTGGAGTCATGACGTGGACATCAGAGAACGATTCCCAGAGCGGAGACGAGACTGAAAACCATTGCCATAACCCTGCACAGCCTGCTCCCGTCTCAAAGGTGCCGCGCGCGGGCTGGGGGGCTCAGGACTCCTTTTGCCTGGGAGCCCAGGAGAGCCGACCACATCCCAGGTGGAGTCCCCATCTCAAGCCAGCCTCTCCCGTCACGGTGCGCTGCTGCTGTCCTGCCTGCAGCAGGACTGCCAGCCTAACCTCGCCAAACGCAAAACAGACCTTTGCTGCGGATAAACATCTCTTGCAGTAAAAATGCCATGGGTGGGGGGAAAGGGGAGAGAAAGCCAGATGATAGCGCCTCATCCCCAGCTGCTTCCCTGACCTGAACCCAACCTGGTCCACAGGCAGAGGGACCTTCCCCCAGAGGTGTGCTGGATTTTTTCTTGCGCACGCTCTCCCTGCCCGCCTCTTAGACCTTGCTCAGGCACCGTGGTCCCTTCAATGCCTCCCCCAGGGTGGGGGCCGGTGGGGGGATCTGAAAAACGTGCAAAAACTCACCCTGAAGAAGGAAATCATTTTGTTTGCAAATTAGTGCATGGAACAGCAAAGCTTTTCATTGGAGTTAAGTTACCTTCCTCGTAACCACGAACTTTGGATGCTCCTGGGATCAGTTTCTTTCCCTCTCACGGCTCCTTCCCACTGCACGGGCAGCTGGGCATGTCCTGCAGGCCCTGGGAGAACTGCAGCGTTGTAGATCCTGGAGTTTGCTTTTGTGTGTGGGCTCGTGCTCAGGGGAATGTTTCTTCCCTCTCGTGACTTGCTGAGGTCTCTCTGAATGGAGTGGTTGGTTATATAGAAAATCGCAGGGCTCCCCCCGAGCGCAGCCCCTGCAACCAATGGGCGAAGCGCGGGACAGGGATGTA